GTGACCATGCACGCCAGGCTGCGACTACGTCCACTCCAGTCCTGGCTATCAACAGTATACCACCCAGGTCACGACAGCTTGAGGACGGTGGTTACCATCCCGCCAGGGATATTAGCCTCTCTAGGCTGGTGGCTGGACCCCAAATCAGTGTGCAAAGGGGTGCCATTTCAATCCCCGCAGCCCTCCATGTCCCTAGTCACGGATACGTCATCCCTGGGATGGGGAGCCCACCTCGGGGTCCTCCATATACAGGGGCTATGGTTGGCAGGAGAGATATCCCTGCACTTCAACGTACGGGAACTCAGAGCTGTGCGCCTGGTGTGTCAGGCATTTTGAGAGCGCATTCAAGGCCGTTGTGTTGCAGTCCTCACACACAACACAACGGCCACGTTTTTACATCAACAAGCAAGGGGGAGCCCGGTCATCCCCCCTCTATCAGAAGACCACTCGTCTGTGGGAATTCTGTATAGCCCACTCAGTCCATCTGGTGGCGTCGTTTCTCCCAGGAGTCAAGAACACCTTAGCAGACCACCTCAGCAGATCATTACAGACTCACGAGTGGTCAGTTCGCCCGGACGTCATCCACTCTGTCTTCCTGAAGTGGGGCTTTCCCCTGATAGACCTATTTGCCTCTTGCGAGAATCGGAAATGCCAAGTGTTCTGCTCTCTACAAGGACACTCTCCGGGTTCCCTGTCGGACGCCTTCCTAATACAGTGGAAGGATCACCTGTGCTACGCCTTCCCTCCATTCCCGCTAGTCCACCGGGTCCTGCTCAAGCTGCACAGGGACAGAGCCCGTCTGATTCTGGTCGCCCCAGCATGGCCCAGACAGCACTGGTATACCACTCTCCTAGAGCTGTCGATGGACACTCCAATTTCACTTCCGCTGTGGCCAGACCTGATCATTCAGGACCACGGACGACTGTCATCCCGACCTGCAATCTTTTCACCTCACAGCATGGATCTGAGCTGTGCTGCTCTCGCTTGGTACAGCAGGTCCTTTTGGGAAGCAGGAAGCCCTCTACCAGGTCAAAGTACTTAGCCAAGTGGAAGCGTTTTTCCTGCTGGTGTGCTCAGAGTCATATAGCCCCGCTACAGGCGTCAGTACCTATCATCTTGGACTACCTCTTGTCCTTAAAACAGCAGGGCTTGGCAATATTATCCATCAGAGTGCACCTGGCAGAGCTGTTTTGGCTTTCCACCCGGCCGAAAACGGGCGTTCTCCAATTGGGTCTTCTCCAATCTCATGGTCAACAGATTTCTCAAGGGGTTGGAGCACCTGTTCCCATGAATTCAACAACCAGGCCCTACGTGGGATCTTAACCTGGTCCTCTCCAAACTCATGGCTGCCCCGTTCGAGCCAATGGCCACCTGCTCGCTCCTGTACCTTTCGTGGAAGACAGCCTTCCTCGTAGCTATCACTTTGGCAAGGCGTGTCTGAGCTCAGGGCATTCACATCGGAACCATCGTATACGATGTTCCATAAGGACAAGGTACAGCTGCGACCCCACCCTGCCTTCCTCCCTAAGGTAGTGTCTGCCTTCCATCTCAACCAGTACATCTTCCTCCCCGTCTTCTACCCGAAGCTACACGCCTCTCGACGGGAACAACAGCTGTACTCCATGGACGTTCGCAGGGCCCTCGCCTTCTACATTGAGGGAACGAAACCTTTCAGGAAAACATCGCAGCTGTTCGTTGCTGTGGCAGACCGGATGAAGGGCCTTCCGATCTCCTCCCAGTGCATCTTGTCCTGGATCACATCATGCATCTGTGCGTGCTATGACTTGGCTGGTGTCCCAACTACGCACCTTACTGCCCACTCCATGAGGGCTCAGGCTTCATCTTCTGCTTTCCTGGCACACGTACCCATACAGGAGATATGTAGGGCAGTGACTTGGTCTTCGGTGCATACCTTTGCCACCCACTATGCGATAATTCAGCAGTCCAGGGGTGATGCTGCATTTGGTTCAGCAGTCCTTCGCTCCACGACATCTCACTCTGACCCCACCGCCTCAGTAAGGCTTGGGAGTCACCTAATTGGAATCGATATGAGCAAGCACTCCAAGAAGAAAAGACAATTACTCACATTTGTAACTGTTGTTCTTCGAGATGTGTTGCTCATATCCATTCCAAACCTGCCCTCCTTTCCCTCTGTCGGAGTATCTGGCAAGAAGGAACTGAGGGGGCGCTGAGTCGGCTGGGGCATATATCCGGCACCATGAAGGCACCCAGTCCAGGGGGCGCCTCAGCCAACCCACCAAGTGTTGCGGGGTTAAAAATCTTCCGACAATCGTGCATACGGTGCACGCACACCTAATTGGAATGGATATGAGCAACACATCTCGAAGAACAACAGTTACAAAGGTGAGTGACCATCTTTTCTGCAGAAAAGGACCTGGGGATTACAGTGGACGAGAAGCTGGATATGAGTTAGCAGTGTGCCCTCGTTGCCAAGAAGGCCAATGGCATATTGGGCTGTATTAGTAGGAGCATTGCCAGCAGATGGAGGAAAGTGATTATTCCTCTCTATTCAGCACTGGTGAGGCCACACATGGAGGACAATAACTCCTCACTTAAAGTCGTCCCAGTTAACGTTGTTTCATTGTTGCCCTGCTGATCAGTTAGGCAACATGCTCGTTTAAAGTTGTGCAATGCTCCCTTATAACGTTGTTTAGCAGCCGCCTTCTTTGTCCACCTGTTGCAGGAAGAGCAGCTGTTGGAGCTGCTGGTGGGGACTTGGAATCAGGGTGGACCGGTAGGCCCCCTATCAGCTCCCCACTCCCCTAAGTTCCCTGTGCGACAGCCGCCTAGCACACTATCAATTGTCTGGCAGTTCAGCTGTCCCTCCCCCCACTGCCTCCTGACCTCTGCCTTTGAGCTGCTCCCCGGAGCCTCCTGCTTGCTGTGCAAGGGGCGGGAGGGGTGCTAATGTCAGGGTGTCCCCCTCCCCACCTCCCATCCACAGAGCAGGAGTGGGGACACCACAGGACTCAGGACAGTGGGAGCTTGCTGGCAGCAGCTGCTGTCTCAGCTTGCTGATCTACTTAAAAAGGCAGTGTACTTAGAGTGGGGTCAGCTTACATAAAGGGGCAATGCACGTCTTTCTCTCACACACAAGGTATGTGTCTTTGTCTCTGTCTGCCGTGCTGTCTCCCCTCCCTCCATTCAGGCTGCCTTGTAGAGTGTGAAGCTACATTAACAACGTGTTAACCCTTGAGGGCTCAGCTGAATGCTAGTTCATCATCTAGCAGTAAGGCATCCCCTGGGAAATATCCCACCCTCTGACTCCACTAGCTTAAAGTAGCATTTTTCAGGAGCATAACTACAAAGTTAAGTGAGGAGTTACTGTATTGTGTCCAGTTTTGCTCTCCCCACTACAGAAGGGATGTGGACAAGTTGGAGAGAGTCCAGCGGAGGGCAATGAAAATTATTAGGGGGCTGGGGCACATGACTTATGAGGAGAGGCTGAGGCAACTGGGGTTATTAAGTCTGCAGAAGAGAAGAGTGAGGGGGGATTTGATAGCAGCCTTCAACTATCTGAAAGGGGGTTCCAAAGAGGATGGAGCTCGGCTGTTCTCAGTGGTGGCAGATGACAGAACAAGAAACAATGGTCTCAAGTTGCAGTGGGGGAGGTCTAGGTTGGATATTCGGAAACACTATTTCACTAGGAAGGTGGTGAAGCACTGGAATGGGTTACCTAGGGAGGTTGTGGAATCGCCATCCTCAGAGGTTTTTAAGGCCTGGCTTGACAAAGCCTTGGCTGGGATGATTTAGTTGGTGTTGGTCCTGCTTTGAGCAGGGAATTGGACTAGATGACCTCCTGAGGTCTCTTCCAACCCTAATATTCTATAATTCTAAGAACTTCTGCTTCTTGAGAGGTGCTATGCACCTCATGTCCCACTGACTTCAGTTTTGGGTGTGTACTCTCAGGATCTAGTACAACTGAATCCCTGGTTAGTCGTGTTCTGACTATTTTAGATGCTTTCTAGGTTCTTACCACCATGGTGTCTAAGTACCAGTATTGGTTGTCTCTTTAGGCTGTGTCTATACTTTAACATTTCCCAGTGGTGGGAAATGGAGTGTAGACAAAGCGCAACGTCTTTACCACTGTGCCACCTAACCTTGCTCAGAGCAAGTCATGATGCCACAACAGTAGAAACATTGGTGGCTGTTAACACCTTGTCTGTGCTCAAGGCCTGCTGTTGCTCTCTCCATTGGAGCTGAGCCAGTATTGGGAGAATACTGGGGAAATTTAAGAAAAGGTTCTGTGTGTAAAAGCTTTGGATTGTGAGCCTTTTGGGGTAGGGACAGTGCCTTACAATTTGCTTGGACAGTGCCTAGCATGTCATGAATGCTACTACAATACAAATACTAAATAAAGGTCATAACTTGCAGAGCACAGTGCGAGCCCTTCTGTGTATTCAGGCTTTTCTCTGAAGTGAGTTTGAGGGGAGGCATGTCCAGACCCGGAAGATTGGCTGGGGAGAGAGTCTTTGGGGGTTTGCTTTCTACTGTGGATTTTGGAATTAGGGAGATTGCCTTAGGTTTCTGACATTCACAGGCAACGTGCTGTAAATTTGCAGTATTCAGTGAGAACTGCTGTCACAGCTCAAAAATTAATTATTTCATGTTTGTAAAGTGCTTTGAAAGTATAAAATCCTACGTCACTGCCAAGCATTATGCTGAGAAAGGTGATTTGTAGACATGGAGTTGAAAGACAAGCTAAATAAGAAATGATTTATGCCTGATGATCAGATCATGAGAAACTGGCAGAAAACAGAATCTAAACTGTTTATTTTACCCACACCCTGTCATACTTCCAAATCAGCCTTCTTTCAGTCATCACAGCAGAGAGTGCCTATCAAGAGTTCTGTTCAACCAGCAGGAATGGCTGAGAGAGGAGACGTGAGGGATTTTTTAAATACTTTTTTAAAAATACTTTTTTTGGAACTGAAGATGACCTGTTTATCCACTGTCTGTTTTCTCTACCTTATTACCAGCCAAGCCAGAAACTCCCTCAGCTCCAGTAAAAGACAAATCTTCACTGTCAGAAGAGGAAATGGAGAGAAAGTGCAAATCCATCATTGATGAGTTCTTGCACATTAACGATTATAAGGTAAACAGAATGAAAACCTCACCTTCCAGAAAGCCATGGAACAGTGGGATCTTTAGCATTTTTTCCTTTCCAGGAACAGTGTCTTTTTAAGCACCCTGTTCTTAGTTCTTTAACATAAACATGGGACCTGCTGGAATTCGGATAGAAGGGATCGGTGCACAACTTTAGCACAGTTCTCCGACTGTTCTGGTTCTTCCATTGCTTACGATAGAGGAAAAATAGTCCCCTTTGGGTATTTTATGTAAAAAAGTTTTAGATATGTCTGTCATGACCACTGAGCAGCACTGTTATAATAGTATGTCAATGCTGGATGTAGAAAGCTAGGGAAACTAGACAAAGTTTAATTCACTTATAAGGAACCCGTTGTTCTGATCTCAAGGAAGATGAAATAATACATATTGAACAAAGTTCTCCAGAGACAGTAAATGTTGAGAATTATTGAGCAACTGTCATCACTCCATAGTTAGGGTTGCAAATGAGTTTCCATTGAAGCTGGATTTTGGCCTCTCCTGTAAAATCCAAAAGTATATTGTCCTCAGAATTGATAGACTAGGTCTGTCGCACATTTTTCGGCAAAGTTTCAAGTGACTAGGATGAGGGATTCCTGAACTGACATCCTGCAAATAGAGTCATTAAACACAGTTCCCAAATTCTTCTAAAATTTTGTAGCCAAAAAACCAGGCAGGAGAGGTAAATCCTATTGTACAGGACTCAACTTATCCAAAAGCTAGCTCCCAGGACAAATATTTGGTTTATTAAAGTCTGATTTCATGAGTTAATAAAATTTGATTTAGTGTTGTCACCAGGGAATATTTACTTAGTATCTTAGTATAGGTCATCTGAGGACTGCTTACTCTAAAAAAAAAAAAATCTCCAGTCCTTTACTTTTTTTTTTTTTTTTTTTGAGATATACCTCCAAGTTTACCCATTATAAGGCATTTTAGTTTCTATGGTCACTAATACAATGAAACAGTTTGTTGTGGCTGGATATAGGAGTATGCCCTTTCTGATTTTCTCAGGATATTTCTATGGAGGCAGAGTTAAAGTAGTTTGGGTTCTTGTTTGAGAAGTGCAGCCATAACTGCATTTCCTAAGGGTTAAACATTTTGAGGTTGGTTATTATAGGTTTTGTTTTATGCTTTTTAGCTCCAACATTCTTGAAATGTAATAGGCACTCCAACCACTGGTATGTGTCTACAACCTTAACTTCACCTTAACAGAGTTTTGATGTGGCACATATCAGTAGAAACACCCTGGTTCTTCATGTGTTTAACCACACTGTTTACTTTGTAATCAAATTAAAACTCAGATTTAGCTTTGTGGCATCCTCTAGTGACAGCTGGGATGTACAGCCATGGACTGAGCAGTCCATTGTAAAAACCCTTAGTCACATTATCCTTGTTTTTGTCAGGCACTAACATACACCTGATTTAAAACTATGGCCTCAACATGGAGTCTGGGACTACCTTAGACTCTGTGACCTGTGGAAAATAGCCACCTAGAAAGTCCAGACATTCATCTGGGGCTACAACAGAGGGTATGATCCAAGATAAAGGGCATTTAAATGTATTGAGTCATAAAGAGTCCACTGAAGTCTACTGTGTTTGACTTAAACATTCAGTTGAAGAGCTTCTTCTCTGATAGTGCAGATATTAGAAGTATGGTGTTACTGTATTTCTCTCTGACTATTCTTCAGAGTATTATACTTGTGTATTTTGTAAAGTGTGGGTACCAGAATGTAGGGGCTGTATATAGAGGAAATGTTGCATTTACCAAATATGATTCATATATTTTCTGCTTCATTACATGGCATGTTTTCATAACATAGGAATTGCCACACCAGACTGGACCAGAATTCCATCTAGTCGAGTATCCTCTCACTAAGGTGGAACAATGTTTTACAGGAAGAGGCGAGAACCTTTCTAGAGGACAATAAAAGAATACCCTGTCCACTGAAGAATTTTCTTCCTAGCACCTGTCAGTTAGCAACTAGTGTATTCCCTGAAGCATGAGTATTTAAAAATTCTATTAACTGTAACTATGGTCACTCTGATCTGTATAAATATCTAATACTTTTTTTTTTTTTTTTTTTTTTTTTTTTTACCCGTACTGAGTTCTCTGCCTCAGGGATGTCTTGAGGCTTTGCTAATTATGCACCCTCACCTTTCAGTTTCCCTGAATGACAAAAGTGTATCAAAATAATGTATTGACTTCAGCCAAAAGAATTAAGTGTTGTGGACTTGTTTTAGTGAAGAACATTCTCCTGCCTTGCAAGTCTTGATGATTCCCAGAATTCAGATAAATGATTCTCTGTCCTGTTTGAACAGGAAGCAATGCAGTGTGTGGAGGAGTTGAATGCACAGAGTCTGCTGCCCATTTTTGTGCGAGTCGGAGTGGAGTCTACTCTCGAGAGGAGTCAGATCACCAGGGATCACATGGGCCAGTTACTACATCAGTTGGTGCAGTCGGAAAAGCTAAGCAAACACGACTTCTTCAAGGGGTTGGTATTCTGCCATATGAACACTTCAATTAGATCACTAAGTTCTTTTTGTGTTAATTTCAAAAACATACTCCTTGTATTGGAGGATACCCCCTTCCCAGCTTCCTGTGAGAGCAACAGTGTCCTACAAGTTTCACAGTAGCAGCCATGTTAGTCTGTATTCGCAAAAAGAAAAGGAGTACTTGTGGCACCTTAGAGACTAACCAATTTATTTGAGCATAAGCTTTCATGAGCTACAGCTCACTTCATCCGATGAAGTGAGCTATAGCTCACAAAAGCTTATGCTCAAATAAATTGGTTAGTCTCTAAGGTGCCACAAGTATCCTACAAGTATCCTTGGTGAAAGAGGATTTATATTTGCCCATTGAGGAGTCTCGTATAACTGGGGCAAGGGGTGTGTTAAATCAATATCTGAGTGAAATTAATACTTGCAAAAGGTGCCATATTGGCAGCTCTTTAAACTAAAGTCCTCCATCCATCCACAGAATAGGGATAGTTCTTGCAATGACAAGACAGGCTTCACTCGTGTAGGACCCGCTGCCAGTGACTCAGCTCTGATTTATAGGGACCAACTCTGGAGATAAGGGTAGTATGGTGCCAAATGCAGTTACGTTGCTTGTGATGTGGACACCTGTCCTCTAGGAACTGAAGATAGACCACCTCATTGGTCACTGCACAGGTGTTAAGATTGTCATATGGTAACTGCATCCAGATCACACTGACTTAGCCTAGATTTGAACCTGTTGCACAAAAGTAAAACAAACCATGTGTCCCAATAAGAGTAACCTAAGCCAGCCAGTACACCCCAGGGATCATAATGTAATGATAAAACCAGGAATAACTAAGAAAGTAGTGCTCAGAAATGACAGAATAAATTAATGTTTTTACATATTAAATGTTAGTGTCTGTAGCCACTTCCTGGTGCTTTTATTTGAAAGATTGCCATATCACACTGCTATTGACTGCTTAGTGATGACGGTGTCAGCAAGTCTATCACTAACAGTGAGTTTTGACATCAAAAAAATCTAAAAACTGATGCGGCTGGATTACATAACCTTGATTTATCAATAGACTTGGAAGGCCCTTTTGCTTCTATGACTAGTGGAGGCCTGATAGCTCATAGAGTAGAAACATTCGGTCTCCAAGTATAATGTGTGGTAAGTACACCTTCCCAGTAAAAGGCTTGCTGCTGGACAAGATGAACATTCACTTTGGAAACACATACTGTCACCAAAACACAAAACTAACATAATAGGCTTTATAATACCTAGTTAAAATCTGTTGTTCCATGTGAGCTAGGGTAAAAAATACATACACAAGGGTTTAAATTGTGTGTGTGTGCGCGCACATGCAGTGACTCACAGATTCAGGATTATTCACATTGAGTCTGGTCTTCAGACCAGAAGAAGAGCTGTGTATCTTGAAAGCTTGTCTCTTTCACCAACAGATGTTGGTTCAGTAAAAGGTATTACCTCACCCACCATGTCTCTCTAATATCCTGGGACCAGCACAACTACCACAACACTGTAAACTACAGTTTATCACACTTCATTTGATATTGATAACGAATCATAGAATATCAGGGTTGGAAGGGACCTCAGGAGGTCATCTCGTCCAACCCTCTGCTCAAAGCAGGACCAGTCCCCAACTAAATCATCCCAGCCAGGGCTTTGTCAAGCCTGACCTTGAAAACCTCTAAGGAAGGAATCATAGAATCATAGAATCATAGAATATAAGGGTTGGAAGGGACCCCAGAAGGTCATCTAGTCCAACCCCCTGCTCAAAGCAGGACCAATTCCCAGTTAAATCATCCCAGCCAGGGCTTTGTCAAGCCTGACCTTAAAAACCTCTAAGGAAGGAGATTCTACCACCTCCCTAGGTAACGCATTCCAGTGTTTCACCACCCTCATAGTGAAAAAGTTTTTCCTAATATCCAATCTAAACCTCCCCCACTGCAGCTTGAGACCATTACTCCTCGTTCTGTCATCTGCTACCATTGAGAACAGTCTAGAGCCATCCTCTTTGGAACCCCCTTTCAGGTAGTTGAAAACAGCTATCAAATCCCCCCTCATTCTTCTCTTCTGCAGGCTAAACAATCCCAGCTCCCTCAGCCTCTCCTCATAAGTCATGTGTTCCAGACCCCTAATCATTTTTGTTGCCCTTCGCTGGACTCTCTCCAATTTATCCACATCCTTCTTGAAGTGTGGGGCCCAAAACTGGACACAGTACTCCAGATGAGGCCTCACCAATGTCGAATAGAGGGGAACGATCACGTCCCTCGATCTGCTCGCTATGCCCCTACTTATACATCCCAAAATGCCATTGGCCTTCTTGGCAACAAGGGCACACTGCTGACTCATATCCAGCTTCTCGTCCACTGTCACCCCTAGGTCCTTTTCCGCAGCACTGCTGCCTAGCCATTCGGTCCCTAGTCTGTAGCTGTGCATTGGGTTCTTCCATCCTAAGTGCAGGACCCTGCACTTATCCTTATTGAACCTCATCAGATTTCTTTTGGCCCAATCCTCCAATTTGTCTAGGTCCTTCTGTATCCTATCCCTCCCCTCCAGCGTATCTACCACTCCTCCCAGTTTAGTGTCATCTGCAAACTTGCTGAGGGTGCAGTCCACGCCATCCTCCAGACCATTAATGAAGATATTGAACAAAACCGGCCCCAGGACCGACCCCTGGGGCACTCCACTTGACACCGGCTGCCAACTAAACATAGAGCCGTTGATCACTACCCATTGAGCCCGACGATCTAGCCAGCTTTCTATCCACCTTATAGTCCATTCATCCAGCCCATACTTCTTTAACTTGCTGGCAAGAATACTATGGGAGACCGTATCAAAAGCTTTGCTAAAGTCAAGGAATAACACATCCATTGCTTTCCCCTCATCCACAGAGTCAGTTATCTCGTCATAGAAGGCAATTAGGTTAGTCAGGCATGACTTGCCCTTAGTGAAACCATGCTCGCTGTTCCTGATTACTGTCCTCTCCTCTAAGTGCTTCAGAATTGATTCCTTGAGGACCTGCTCCATGATTTTTCCAGGGACTGAGGTGACTGACTGGCCTGTAGTTCCCCGGATCCTCCTCCTTCCCTTTTTTAAAGATGGGCGCTACATTAGCCTTTTTCCAGTCGTCCAGGACCTCTCCCGATGGCCATGAGTTTTCAAAGATAATGGCCAATGGCTCTGCAATCACATCCGCCAACTCCTTTAGCACTCTCGGATGCAACGCATCCAGTCCCATGGACTTGTGCTCGTCCAGCTTTTCTAAATAGTCCCGAACCACTTCTTTCTCCACAGAGAACTGGTCACCTCCTCCCCATGCTGTGCTGCCCAGTGCAGCAGTCTGGGAGCTGACCTTGTTCGTGAAGGCAGAGGCAAAAAAAGCATTGAGTACATTAGCTTTTTCCAATCCTCTGTCACTAGGTTGCCTCCCTCATTCAGTAAGGGGCCCACGCTTTCCTTGGCTTTCTTCTTGTTGCTAACATACCTGAAGAAACCCTTCTTGTTACTCTTAACATCTCTTGCTAGCTGCAACTCCAAGTGTGATTTGGCCTTCCTGATTTCACTCCTGCATGCCTGAGCAGTATTGTTATACTCCTCCCTGGTCATTTGTCCAATCTTCCACTTCTTGTAAGCTTTTTGTGTTTAAGATCAGCCAGGATTTCACTGTTAAGCCAAGCTAGTCACCTGCCATATTTAGTATTCTTACTATTACATAACTATGAGTTATGGTGCTCAAAGAAGTGGACTGTTGGTGAAGTATTAGGATGTGTGTATTCCTGTGGGGGAGGGGAGGGCGAGAAACCAAACGAATGCACTAGAGATAATTGAATGAGGGTGGAGAGCCATGACATTCAGTGGACATGCAGCAAAATTGCTGAAGACTTGCTGTACTGTTCACCAAGACATGTTACCCTGAGATTCAGGGCCATGGTGTGAGAAAAGATCATAGCACAAAATCTAAACTAAGCTCAACTCTAGCGAGAAACTCTCTGCATGACAGTAAATAAACAGCAAAATTACTGGCAGAAGAGCTCAGTCAAACCCAGGATGAGCCAGTACCAGAAGCCTTAATAAAGAAACAGGCATATGAGACAGCCACTCCTCAAAAACCATCCCTGAAACCAGTGAACAAGAAAAAGAATTTACCAGAATCCATTTAAAATGGATACCAGAAGACTGTTGAATGTTCCTGGGAACCAATGAATCAGTGTGAATTTTCTGATAGAGGCACATTTATAATCCACCAGGTAAAAAGTGAGTGCCTGGTACCACTGATGAAACATGAAGCCGGTTCATTGATAATTTGTCATTGTGCTTTTGGAAGAGGTGTTGAAAATTCTGAAATCTGGATTTGCAGTTTGAGAAAAGACCTCATAAATCAGCCATAGAGCCTAGTGTTTTGGAATGCCAGGTCCTCCTGCTAACCCAGCCAAGTATACAGGTGATTTTCCTAAAAGAGAAAAATTGAACTTCTCAGGCCACATTCCGGTTTATTGACTATTTTCTTGTGTTATGTTTTAGGCACTTGATGGATCACACCAGACTTAATCAAACATTGTTCAGTTGAAAATCTTATACTATATTTTCTATGTCCTCCCACATGTAAAATTCTGTTTGTTAGAGATTTTGTATTTAAAAAAGAAAATGCTTTTTACCCTTACAGATGTCAGGACTGTTAATGAGCTCATTATTGGGTAATGGGAGTTTTAAAAATTGTTTTCCTGTATGTTTTGACTACCACCCTCCATGGAGGGAATTTCCTCTTGCACATTCTTCCAGTGCTTCAGCATTTCCAAGAAGTAATTATGCTACACAAATACCTGGAGAGGATTGGATGGCATACCATTGGGCTTTTTTAATATAAATCAAAAGTATATAATGCAGGGTGGATTTACTTGGCAGAAAAAAATTCAGTGAGGTGGGAATTGGATTTAATATTTGGAGTTTCTCTTTTCTTCCAAAGGTTTTCAGACACCTTGGAGCTGGCAGATGATATGGCCATTGATATACCACATATTTGGTTGTATCTAGCTGAATTGGTGACCCCCATGTTAAAAGAAGGAGGAATCTCTATGAGAGAACTTATAACGTAAGCAATGCTATTTTTGTTTAGTGACCGTCATGCCTAAACTAGCCTGATTATGCTATAACATCTAAGCAGCATGACTTCTGTCAGTTGACTAGACAGGAATAATAAGAGACTCAGCGTGTGAGAGTCAATGTGAGACCTTGTGAGAAGTGTTCCAGAAATCAGATTTGCATTAATGTGGAAGCTCTGATGGTGCAAGAGCTTGCTGTTGTGCAGTCTTTCTTTCTTTTTCTTTTTTTTTTTAAACGTTATCTACCAATCCTCTTCAGTCCCAGTTTTTTTCTAGCTGAATTAAAAACCACCTAAAGTTGTAGGACCAGATTGACTCTCAGAAATATTAAGGTCCTGATCTTTTAAAGGGATGTGAATTCTCCCTTCATTTTCTGAAGATAAAGTTTTTCACGTATGATAATTGTGCCTAGAATTAATTACCACTTAGACATCTGTCTGATTACTATTAACCAGCAGCACAAAGCTACACCTGTAAAAATGGAAAACCATTTTCAAAAATCAGAGCATTACTGTATTTTTATCATTATCACCTTCAATCACATTTATATTGCAGGTTTCAATCACATTTATATTGCAGCAGCACAGATAGGCCAACCAGCCTTGGGCCCTGTTATTGTAGCACTATACTAATATCTAGAAAGCAACAGTTCCCTGCTCCGAAGAGCTTAAGGACAGGTTTTTAAAGGTACTTGGGCACCTAAATCCCATTGAAATCAAGGACCTGCATATGTTTAAAATCTAGGCCTTACAGTCTACAAGATTCTACAGACCAAATCCTCATCCCATCAAAATAAGTAGATTTGGCCCTATGTAAAACTAAAGTATAGGGGTGTTTTATTTGTTCCTGTTGTGCAGTTTTTCTAAGTTTTAGTCTAATATGGGCCCAATTCTGCATCAGTGACGTTGGTCGGAGCTTTAACATTAACTTCAATGGGAGCAAGATGAGATCCCATATACAGAGCAGAAGTTAAAGCTGTGCAGTTTTCTGCATCAGCTTGATCCCCACCTCTCTCCTGCCCCGAATCAAGAGCTGCTTTTCACAGCAGTGTAACTTGTCTGAGACAATAAAATATTATAATAAAAGTATTTATTTCTGTTCCATTCCAGAGAATTTAGCAAACTGTTACTTCCTGTGGGAAGAGCTGGGGTCTTGCTTTCTGAAATATTGCACCTTCTATGCAAACAAATGGTAAGTATGCAGGGATACAACTTATAAATTTTGTTGGGTGCAGAAAGTAAATGATCATGCATAAAGACAATGTGCTCGTATTCCCAACATTTAGGTATAGGTGAACCTGTGCAAATAACATTAAAAACCTGCCTTTCCTTCCCCAAATTTCAAACCAAGCCTCATAAGATTCCAAAAAGTTGGGCTACTATTTTCTTATCAAGTTTCCCCTTTGTAGGTACCTCTGCACCTGGCTTCTTCGAGAAGCTGGAGTGCTGAAGTATTGCAAGAGAACCATTCTCAAAGTATTTCTGGGCTGATCAGAAACAAGTACTGGCAATCTCACATAAGGGCCTGTTTTTGCAGACCTGAGAGGTTCTGGGAGTTCGGATAAGCTTCAGATGGCCATTCAGACTTCTGGGTGTTTATCCAAACTAAACCTGCAAACTCTTGAGATTCACCTGTCTCTAGGGATAGAGATACCTATTCACCATGTAACTTCTAAAGCTGTCTTACACATTTTCACAGTTGTCTGTGCAGACACCTTGGTAGTTTCCGTATAAGTGTATCATATATTTAAATTTTTATTTCTAAGGTCAGGATAAATAATTCACTTTGTGTAGTCTTGTACGTTAAACATTCATCACCTCCTTTTTAAAGCATGGATTCAAATTAGGTCAGTTTTCCATGCAACAGCTCCTTAATGTAGCTAGAAGCTTATATTTTATTTTTTAAAATAAGTAATATGCTGCTTGTTTGGATTGTGTATTGCCATTTTCTCTATATCATGTGGGAGAAGAACAGGGAAAGGAGCCATGATCTTGTGGTTAAAGCACAGCCTAAAGTCAGAAGATCTGGGTTTTATTTCTAGCTCTGTCAGACTTCTGGCATAACCTTAGGTAAATCATGTAAGCCAAAATTTTCAGTGTTGGGTGCCTAAAGTCAGGCAATATTGTTTATTGTATATATAAACATTTTGGGGATTTCTAAAAAGTCAGGCATGAAGTCTACTGGACTGTCAGATGCAGAAGGTTGTACACATACTGTTGTAAAGGTAATTTTCCGTAGATTTACAATGAATTGTAGGATTTAAACTGTGACCTTGTTGTCACACACATGACGTTGAGGATTGATCTCCATACAAAAGATATCCATGTAATCATGATTTTTCTGAAGTAGACATGCTCTAACTTTATTCATGTAGAGGGATGGAAAGATAAGTAATTTCTTACTAGGGCACAGCAAGTCAGTGGCAGAGCTAGGAGTAGAACCCGATGCATTTGAGTCCCCGTTCTGTATCATGTCCACTGGACCACACTTTTAATATGGTCACTTTATTGTAGATGATCTTTGGTCATGTTGTTGCAAACTCCATATATCACATCAAGCCAGCCATATTTATTACACATCATTGTGGCATCTGTGCAACTTACAAGGTACAACGTTTACCTGTAAAAGGTAGGATATTATATATAACTTCTCCAGCACAGGCTTTCTGGAAGTTTTCACATCTTGGCTAGGCATATTTTTGGATGGCTAAATGATTATTTATTTCTCTTTATGCAGCACCATTCCAGCCTGTTTAAGCTCCTGTACTTTTCAGATTTAAAAATGAACAAATTGCTTTGTGTTTTAGAGCCATAAGAAAGTAGGAGCCTTATGGAGGGAGGCTGGCCTCAGTTGGAAGGACTACTTACCTGAAGGGGAGGATATACATACCTTTCTCACGGAGCATGTGAGTTGAAAGCAAGTTTCTTCTAGAGAAGAGCGCTGTGAGATATATTTGTAGGATACATTTGGCCCATTGGTTTGTATTTTATTTTTACTTTGAGTCCTAGTTGTTCATTTCAATTCCATCCCTAAATATTGTCAAAATGGAACATGAAGATGAACTACTCCAGTCATTCAGATTAGGTTTAGGCAGTACATTTGGTGGAAGACACCAAAGGAACACTTGAAAGTGATGTGGGTGATTAAAATAATGGCACTCTTCCCTTGAGTCAGTACTGAACCAGAGGCCCAGCATGATTTTAGGGAGCACTGTGCTACTGGAAATGCAACGTAAAACCAAGATCTGAGAACTAATGATCATTATAGATTCTATGTCACATTTTGCAAAAATAGTGTATTAGCCTTAGCTTCCGGATAGGGCTGTCAATTAATCACAGTTAACTCATACAATTAACTCAAAAAAATTAATCATGATTTAAAAAATTAATCACAGTTTTAATCACACTGTTAAACAATAGAATACCAATTGAAATTTATTACATATTTGTGGATGTTTTTCTACATTTTGAAATATATTGATTTTAATTACAACACAGAATATGAAGTATACAGTGATCACTTTATATTATCATTTTTATTACAAATATTGGCACTATAAAAATGATAAATAAAAAATAGTATTTTTCAAATCAGCTCATACAAAATACTGTAGTGCAATCTCTATCATGAAAGTTCAACTTACAAATGTAGATTTTTATTGTTGTTACATAACTGCATTCAAAAACAATGTAAAACTTTAGAGCCTGCAAGTCCACTCAGTCCTACTTCTTGTTCAGCCAATTGCTAAGGCACGGTCTACAGTACGCAGTTATTTCGGAATTAGCCGAGTTACTTCGAAATAAAACTGATTCCTTCCACATGACCAAACCAGTTTTTTCGTTTTAAAGGGCTCTTTAATCCGATTTCTGTACTCCACCTCGGCAAGTGGAGTAGCACTAAAATAGAGATCGCAGTTCTGAGTTACAGGTACTGTGGATGCAATTCGACGTTATTGGCCTCAGGGAGCTATCCCAGAATGCTCCCTTGTGACCGCTCTGGACAACACTTTCAACTCCGATGCACTAGCCAGGTAGGCAGTAAAAGCCCCAGGAACTTTTGAATTTCCTGTTTGGTCACCATCAGCTCAGGTGAGCATCACAAGAGACCATGCAGTCCCGGATTCGCAGACAAGCTCCAGCATGGTCCGAATGGGAGGTACTGGATCTCATTGCATGTTGGGGAGACACATCTGGTATGGCAGAACTACGTTCCAAAAAAAGAAACGCAAATACGTACACTGAAGTCTCCAGGGCCATGACGGAAAGAGGCTACTCCAGGGACACAGAGCAGTGTCGTACAAAAATCAAGGAGCTCAAGCAAGCGTACCAAAAAGCCAGGGAGGCGAACAGCGCTCTGGGTCACAGCCCCATACATGCTGCTTCTACCATGAGCTGCATGCAATTATGTGGGGTGATGTCACCACTACCCCGCCACTGTCCATGGACAGCTGCAAGGGGGGAGTAGCACAGAGCGAGGAGGATGAGTGTTCGGAGGACGAGGAGGACAGTGCACAGGCGGCAAGTATGGAATCCGTTTTCCCCCGTAGCCAAGAACTGTTCTTAACACTGGAGCCAATAGTCTCCCCCCACTCCCAAGGCATGCTCCCGGACCATGACCCTGGAGAAGGCACCTCTGGTGAGTCAGAGCTTGATCAGAGCCACACTGTGGAGGGTGGGGGGAAACCCAGCCGCACTGGGCTGTTCGTGTTTAGTTTAAAAGGCTCATAGCATCATCGGAGTCACGCAGTGGGGGGTGGGGAGGATGTTGTGTGAAGCGATCATCCCAGAGAGCCTCCTTTTATATGGCAAACCCACAAGGCATAGCTTGCTATGGGAAAGGGGTCCCGGCAGTTTGAAAGCATTGAAATGAATATGGAAGAAGCAGAACCCCGCGTGCCCCTAGGGTGTACCATGGCTGCCTGCAAGCTGAATTCTGTTGCCTGGCCGCATGTGATGGCTTACTCACACCAAAGTGGCAGGCACTTCAGTATAAGAGGCAAAATGTGACCTTGTACAAAAAGAACATGTGCTGTGTACTATGAATTGCCTGTTTCACTGAGAAAGCGTGTCCCCTTTGTTGTCTAAAATGTATCTTTTAAAATACTACCCTCCCTTTTTCTCCTTCCACAGCAGGTGCAAATGTTTCAACGCGGCCTCTATCTACTCCATCCCAGAGGCTGGTCCAGATTAGAAGGCAGAAAAAACAAACTCGGAACGATATGTTTGCCGAGCTCATGCAGTCGTCTCTCACTGATAGGGCCCAGCTCAATGCGTGGAGGCAAACAATTGCGGAGATGCGTAAAGCGTTACATGAATATGAAGAGAGGAGGGACATGTGCAATGAGAGCAGGCAGGATGCAATAGTCAAGCTCATGGGGGAGCAAACTGACATGCTCCTCTGTATGGTGGATCTATGCAGGAAAGGCAGCAAGACCACAGTCTGCCGCTGCAGCCCCTGTATAACCACCCTCCCCAGGTTCCATAGCCTCCTCACCCAGACGCCCAAGAACGTGGCGGGGAGAGGGAGGAGGCTACGGGGACCCACACAGTCAACCCCAGAGGATTGCACAAGCAGCAGAAAGCTGGCATATCCTAAATTTTGATTTGGTTTCTGAACTTGTCCTTCCCTCCTCCTCCACACCCCTAACCCAATACCCCCCTTCCCCGTCTAGCTTCTGATTTCTCTCAGTGTTTTTTGCAACAAATAATAAAGAACGGTTTTTAAACAATTGTGACTTTATTTCCTTTCATATATATAGGGGGCAGGTAACTTTAAGAGAAGCAAACACTACTGTCACGCCGTACCCTGGCCAGTCATGAAACTGGCTTTCAAAGCTTCTCTGATGTGCAGCACACCCTGCTGCTCTCTTCTAATCGCCCTGTTGTCCGGCTGTGCAAAACTGGCCGCCAGGCGAGTTACCTCAACCTCCCACCCTGCCAAAAATGTCTCCCCCTTACTCTCACATATATTGTGGAGCACACAACAAGCAGCAATTACAATTGGAATATTGGTTGTGCTGAGATCTAACCAAGTCAGTAAACTGCACCAGTGCACTTTCAAACGTCCAAAAGCACATTCTACCACCACTCTGCACTTGCTCAGCCTATAGTTGAACTGCTCCTTACTACTGTCCAGGGTGCCTGTGTACCGCTTCATAAGCCATGGCATTAAGAGGTAGGCTGGGTCCCTGAGGATAACTATAGGGATTTCAACATCCCCAACAGTAATTTTCTGGTCTGGGAAGTAAGTTCCTTCCTGCAGCTGTTCAAACAGACCAGAGTTCCTGAAGATGCAAGCGTCATGCACCTTTCCTGGCCATCCCACGTTGATGTCAGTGAAATGTCCCTTGTGATCCACCAGTACTTGCAGAACCATGGAAAAGTACCCCTTGTGGTTTATGTACTGGATGCCCTGGTGTTCCGGGGCCAAGATAGGGATATGCGTTCCGTCTATGGCCCCGCTGCAGTTAGGGAACCCCAGCGCATTAAAGCCATCCACAATAGTCTACACATTTCCCAGAGTCACTACCCTTGATAGCAGCTGGTCAATGATTGCGTTGGCTACTTGCAGCACATCAGCCCCCACTCCAAACTGATTCCCGACTGACTCGGGCTTTGCAAGCTTCCACAGGGCTATGGCCACTCACTTCTCAACTGTGAGGGCTACTTTCATTTTGGTGTCTTTGTGCTTCAGGGCAGGGGAAAGCAAGTCACTAAGTTCTATGAAAGTGGCCCTACCCATATGAAAGTTTCTCAGCCACTGGGAATCATCGCATACCTGCAACACTGTGCAGTCCCACCAGTCTGTACTTGTTTCCCAGGCCCAGAATCGGCGTTCCATGGCATGAACCTGGCCCAACACCACCATGATCTCCCAATCGCCACATGCCATGCTTCTAGGAACGTCTGTGTCCATGTCCTCATCACTATCGTAATCGCACTGTCATCGCTTCCTCACCTGGTTTTGCAGGTACTGCACATACTGCTGGATAATGTGCAAGGTATTTACAATGGTCAGAACTGCAGCAGAGATCTGAGCGGGCTCCATGGCTATGGCACCTGCACAGGTAATCCTGGAAAAAGGGCGCAAAACATTGAAGAGCAGAGTTGCAGCGGAAGAGGTGCTGTTCGGTTCACGATAGCCCAAAAAAGGCGGGAAATGGTTGTCTTCTGTAGCTTTCATGAAGGCCGGAGCCCAGGACAGACAACATGGAGAAGCTCGGAAGCACGGCAATAGCAGGAGAGCAGAGTTGGCAGTGGAAGCTGTGCTGCTTGGTTCATGATGGCTGAGCAGAGTTGGCAGAGGAAGAGAGAGTAGATAGTAGAGATTACATAGGAAGATGAGAGGAAATGAATAGTGGATTCATAGTAGCAGGAGAGCAGCAGTGCACCGTCTGCTGAAAGCAGTATGGCGTCTGCATGCCAAAAAGGCGCAAAACGATTGTTTGCCGTAGCTTTCACGAAGGGAGGTGCGACTGACGACACACACCCAGAAACACCCACAAGAATGTTTTTGCCCCATCATGCTCTGGGAGCTTAACCCAGCATTCCAATGGGCGGCGGGGACTGCGGGAACTGTGGGATAGCTACCCACAGTGCACCGCTCTGACATTCGATGCTAGCCTTAGTACTGTGGACGCTCTCCGCCGAATTCACGCGCTTTAGTGGGGACACAGAAGACTGAATGTATAAAATCACTTCTGAAAATTCGAATAGAATAATTTTGAAATAATTTCGTACTGTAGATGTACTCTAAGACAAACAAGTTTGTTTACATTTACGGGCGATAATGCTGCCTGCTTCTTATTTACAGTGTCACCTGACAATGAGAACAGGGGGGTCACATGGCACTTTTGTAGCCGGCATTGCAAGATATTTACTGTCAGATATGCTAAACATTCATATGCCCCTTCATGCTTCAGACACCATTCCAGAGGACATGCTTCTATGCTGACGATGCTCGTTACAAAAATTATGCATTAATTAAATTTGTGACCTAACTCATTGAGGGGAGAATTGTATGTCTCCTGTTCTGTTTTACCCGCATTCTGCCATATACTTCAGTCTCGGATGATGATCGTTTTAAGATTTGACAAAACGCAAAGAAGGTACCAATGTGAGATTTCTAAAGATAGCTACAGCACTTGACCCAAGGTTTAAAAACCTGAAGTGCCTTCCAAAATCTGAGAGGGACAAGGTGTGATGCATGCTTTCAGAAGTCTTAAAAGAGCAATACTCCGACAGAGAAACTACAGAACCCGAACCACCAAAAAATAAAATCAACCTTCTGCTGGTGGCACCTGCCTCAGATAATGAAAATGAACATGCATCAGTCCGCACTGCTTTGGATCATTATCGAGCAGAACCCATCACATGGAATGGTGGTCGAAGTATGAAGGGACATATGAATCTTTACCGCATCTGGCACGTAAATATCTTGCAACACCGGCTACAACAGTGCCGTGCAAATGCCTGTTCTCACTTTCAGGTGACATAAACAAGAAGTGGGCAACATTATCTCCTGCAAATGTAAACGAACTTGTTTGTCTGAGCAGTTGGCTGAACAAGAAGTAGGATTGAGTGGACTTGTAGGCTCTGAAGTTTTGCATTGTTTTATTTTTGAAAGCAGTTATTTTTTGTACATAATTCTACATTTGTAAGTTCAACTTTCATGATAAAGGGATTGCACTACAGTACGTGTATCAGATGAATTGAAAAATACTATTTCTTTTGGTTTTTACAGTGCAAATATTTGTAATCAAAAATAAATACAAAGTGAGCACTTACACTTTGTGTTCTGTGTTGTAATTGAAATCAATATATTTGAAAATGTAGAAAACATCCAAAATATTTAAATAAATGGTATTCTATTATTGTTTAACAGTGCGATTAATCGCTGTTAATTTTTTTAATCACTTGACAGCCCTACTTCATGACCAAATTCCAGATCTGGTATTTGCATTCTGGCTCCCTGTAGTTTCAATTAGACAAGGTATATGTTTTCATTTCATGGGTTAAAGTGTAGTGGAGCGTTGCTCTGTGCCACATTTTTCCTCAAAGGTGGCTGCATTTCCTTGCTGGATGAAGTGATCCCTCAGTATAGATTGTACGTAAGTGTGTTGTTTGTAAATTGCTCTGATTCTTTGAAATGAAAGGTAGGACATACGTCATTACAATGATAAAACAGAATAAAGTGTTGTTTGTTCTTTTTCCTTAGTATGATTCAGTGTAGAAAAGCATATTTAATCGTTTCTCATAACTTCTAATGTTGCAGAAGTTGGACTTCACAGTGTCTGACTGTTCCAGTTCCTCAGAAGCACTTTCAGAGGAAGAACTCTCTGCTGACGAACTGAACAAACAGCTAGAAAAACTCATTATTGAGGACAAGGCGAACGATGAACAAATCTTTGATTGGGTAGAGGTATAAAGACTGTTTTCACTGTACCTGTGCATTAACCATCTTTATAAACATTTTCCCAGCCAACAGGATCAACTCTATCTTTTGCCACCTCTTTGTTTTGCCCCCCTGCACTGCTCACCCCAGTCTGATATTGGTTCTCCAGGAATAATATAGCCAAGTGCTAGCCACTAGATCTAGTCACTGTCACAGAATAACTTCTCTGTTGCTTCATGGCTTCCAGTTGTGGTTAGTTGTTGATAGATGTTAAGGGTTAATATAATGAAGGGGTAAAATAATTAATTTACTGTATTTATTTAAAGTTTTTACCTTGTTTCCTGTTTGTTGTTTTGTTCGGATTTTAATTGCTTTATTTTTTGGAGGTTTTTGTAAAAACTATAACTTTTAAAACAAAGAGAGAGAAAGCAGAAGTGAGGAGAGGCAGGGGAAGGAAGGTGAAGAGCAACCTGGGAAGGTAGGGAGACCTGAGCCAAGAGAGATTTGCTAGCAACCCGGCATGTGCATACCTTATTAAACTCTCTGGGGCTTAACAGTGAGGGGTTAAGGGAGTTTCCTAGCTTGTGGCTATCTGTCATGTTAGGTTGTGATTTATACAAAGGACACCTTGCTTACCTACCAGATTAATGGTCGGGGTCATCAGTGTAGTCAGGTGGTAATAGATGTTTGGCTGTGTGTGTGTGTTCCCTCTGTGTGACGCCCCAGCCCTGTGCAAACAGCTGACTCTGCAGACCTCAAGCAAACTGGCCAATGACCACAAAATCCATTAAGGAACAAAGGCATCCAGCCAGGTTTATTGTCGACAAAGCACAGTACTAGTATCCTGCAGACACTACTGGACCACTAATACATGTATGTCCGTAACAGTGCACCAGCTCAGTAAATGGTGGGACTTTCTGTTCCTCCCTAGGCCAAACAAAAATACTCCCTCAGAGATACATCTTTATACCCTGATACAAACAAGTTAGTACTGTCCCTCTGACATAGTTACTGCCCCCTAACTTGGCTAGTTATCATCCATCACCTTGTATATGTTGGTTTGATCAAAACATTTCTGTTACGTACTGTCATCCTGACCTTATCTTTTAGGAGGGGTCAGTGTGTTCCTGTTATCCTTGGGGAATGTTTTTGTTCCATCCTCGATATCGGAATGTTCTAGTACTACTTGATATCGAGATGTGTTTGTGTGAGTACTCTGTGACTAGCAATTCTTCGGAATGTGTATTTTTGCAATATCAGTCCTGTTCTTGCCAGATTTTGTCAGCGGGTCCTGCCTCATACCAGGCCTCTGTTTCAAGGGCTTATGTCTCAGGCTCTCTTCCTACTACACCAGTCTCCAGGGAACCAAGCAGAAATGTTCATAACCACCACCAATTCATCTCTGGATAAGGCATATAGTATTTGTACAGTTGACCACTCTGCATTCTTCAGTTCACAAAGATTATTAAATTTCCATAAAGCATCCGCCCTATGGCCTGACATCTTAAGGACTTTCCCAATATACGCTTTGGAACAGTAAGATTCAGTACAGTTACAGCAGAAAATGGCCATTTCAATTTTATCTCCATCCTAAGCACAGGAGAGCAAGATATAGATATTGTTGTAAAATCAGCATTTGCCTAGAGATAAAGAATATAATTTGCAGGAAGAAAAGGTTAACTTCTTTAAAGTTCTCTTATTTTTTTGTCTGGATCCTTATTTTGAAGGCTAACCCATTATCTGATAATGGCCTGTTCAAATGTATAATTTTGTGAAAACATGTTTTCAATTATCAATGACATTTTAAACCTGGTATGCTATAACAGTTTATTTTCCAAGTATGGGGTGAAATTGGTTGGTTTTCTTCCTGACATTATCTGTGCCCCATTATGAGATTATTTGGCTTCCCATGCAACAGTGGAATTCTTTGCAAACAGTTACCCACTGGCGATGCATGTGCTCCGCTCTGTTCCAGTATTTTAGAACCAAGAGTATAAAAGCCTGCACCCACCCACTGTCTCTTCTCTAACTCTGGGCACATCCTTTAAACCAGATTTTAACCTCTATGTCTGAAATGATGCTAAACCAGATTTGTCCTATTGGTATAATAGGCATCATGGAAACTTGGTGGAATGACGATAATCAGTGAGACACAGTGATAGCAGGGAACAAAATATAGAGAAATGACAGAGTAGGTCATGCTGGTGCGGGAGTGGCACTATATGTGAAAGAAAGCAAGAGTCAAATATAGTAAAAAAATGAATCAAACTGTCCCATAGAATCTTTATGGCTAGAAATACCATGTTTGTATAATAAGAGTATACCAGTAGGAATATACTACCGACCACCTGACCAGGATGGTGATGGTGAACTGCTCAAGGAGATTAGAGATGCTGCAAAGGCAGAAAATGCAATAATAATGGGGGATTTCAGCTATCCTCATATTGACTGGATATATGTCACCTCAGGACGGAATGCAGAAATAAAATTTCTAGACACCATAAATGACTGCCTCTTGCAGCAGCTTGCCCTGGAACCCAGAAGGGGAGAGGTAATTCTTGATTTGGTCCAAAATGAAGCACAAGATCTGGTCCAAGAGGTAAAGATAGCTGAATCGCTCAGTAAAAGCAATCACAATATAGATTTAACATCCTTGTAGGGGGAAATATGCCAAAGAAAACCACAACAGTAGTGTTTAATTTCAAATAGGGGAACTACACAAAAATGAAACTAGTTAAATGGAAATTAAAAGGAACAGTCAGAAGAGTGTAAAGCCTGCAAATTGCAAGGAGAGACTATTGAAAAAACATCATCACAGAGGCTCAAACTAAAGGTATACTCCCCTCCCCTGAATTCTACCATGGCTAAACAGCCAAGTGAAAGAGGTGGCTAGAGGCAAAAAGGCATTCTTTAAAAACTGGAAGTCAAATCCTAGTGAGGAAAATAGAAAGGAGCATGAACTCTGGCAGTCAAGTGTAAAAAGTATGATAAGACAGGTGGAGAAAGAACTTGAAGATCAACTAACTTAGGATACATAAATGAACAGCAAAAAAATTAGTAAATCAGAAGCAGGAAACCTGCCAAACAGTCAGTGGGGGGTCACTGGATGATCAAGGTGCTAAAGGAGCACTCAAGACAAAGCCATTGCAGAGAAGCTAAATGAATTCTTAGCATTGGTCTTCACTGCAGAGGTTGTGAGGGAGATCTCTACAGGTGAGCCATTCTTTTTAGGTGACAGATCTGAGGAGCTGTCCCTGATTTGAGGTGTCAGTAGAGGAGGTTTTGAAACAAAATGATGCATTAAAATTAAAATTGATACATTATTGATATAAGTCACCAGGACCAGATAGTATTGACCTAAGAATTCTGAAGGAATTCAAATGTGAAATTGCAGAACTACGAATTATGGTATGTAACCTATTGCTTAAATCAGCCTCTGTACCAGATGATTAGAGGGTAGCTAACGTAACACGTGTTCTTTAAAAAGGTTCCAGAGCCAATGCTGGCAATTACAGGCCAGTAAGTTCACTTCAGTACCAGGCAAATAGGTTGAAACTAAAAACAAAATTATAAGACACAGAGATGAACATAATATGTTGGGGAAGAGTCAACAGAGCTTTTGTAAAGGGAAATCATGTCTCACCAATCTGCTAGAATTCTTTGAGCATGTAGGCAAGGATGATCCAGTTAATAAGGTATAATTAGACTTTCAGAAAGCCTTTGACAAAGTGAGCAGCCTTGGGATAAAAGGGAAGGTCTACTCATAGATCAGTAACTGGTTAAAAGAAAGAAAACAAAGAATAGGAATAAATGGTCAGTTTTCACAATGGAAAGAGGTAAATAGCGGGATTCCCCAAAGATCTGTACTTGAACCTGTGCTTTTCAACATATTCATAAATGATCTGGAAAAAGGAGTAAACAGTGAGGTGGAAAAATATTTAGATGACATAAAATTACTCAAGATAGTTATGCCTAAGGCTGACTGCGAAGAGTTGCAAAGGGATCTCACCAAACTGGGTGACAAATGAAATTCAAAATAATGCACGCTGGAAAATATAATCCCAATTACATATACAAAGTGATGGGGTCTAAATCAGCTTTTACCACTCAAGAAAGAGATCTTGGAGTCGTCATAGGTAGTTTTCTGAAAACACCTGCTCATTGTATAGAGACAGTTAAAAAAACTAATAGAATGTTAGGAACCATTGGGAAAGGGATAAATAATAAAGCAGAAAATATCATAATGCCATTATATAAATCCACGGTATGCCCACACCTTGAATACTGGATGCAGTTCTGGTCACCCCATCTCAAAAAAGATATATTAGAATTGGAAAAGGTGCAGAGAAGAGCAACGAAAATTATCAGGGCTATGAAACAGCTTCCATATGAGGAGAAATTAAAAGGTTTGGGATGATTCAGCTAAGGGGGATATGATAGAGATGTATAAAATCGTGAATGGCATGGAGAAAGTGAATGGGGAAGTGATATTTACCCCTTCACATAACATAAGAACTTAGGGGTTCTTCTTTGAGTGCTTGCTCATGTCCATTCCAGCGTAGGTGTGTGTTCGCCCCAAGCACTGCCGCTGGAAAGCTTTCCCCTCAGTGGTATCTATCTGGTTGGCTCTGGGTCCCCCTGACGTCGCGCCTTCATGGCACCAGTATATAGGGCCCTGCTGACCCACCATCCCCTCAGTTCCTTCTTACCATCTGTGATGGTCACTGAAATGTCAACTTGTCCTTGTGTTCTTTGCAAGTACGCCTCTCAGTGGACTTTTTTGATTTCTTGTATATAGTTATTCACTAGTGGTTAAGTTTCGGTTCTAATTTTTAGTATTTTGGTTAGAGAACTTTGCTTAGTGAGGTTAACCCCTCCCCAGCATCAGGGCATGCCTCAGTCCCCGGGGTTTAAGCAGTAAGCGCCATGCCACAAGCCGATGCCTTGCAGTGATCCCCATTATAGCTGCCTTAAGTGTTTGGGGGAGTCCCACATGCAAGAGCACTGTAGAATTTTTAAAGGGTTCA